CCGACTGACATGGGGCTTGGAGAGCACGTTGTACTTTCGCTAACAGAAGGTGTTGTGGAAGCAGGCACACAAGTTTTTTTTGAGAATTTTTTTTTCGTCAACAAAGCTTTTGCTCCGCCTCCGAGATCGAGGTGTTTTTGCTTGCGGAACTTTCAGAACGAACAAGAAGGATCTGCCCCCCAGAGGTGAAAGTGGATAACAAATTACAGCGCGGATAATTTCTGTATAGATCCAAGGGTCCAGTTTCCGTCTACCAGTGGCGAGACTCGAAGAATGTTCATGTCATGTCGAATTATCATGACCCCCAAGATGAAGCCACTGTGGAAAGAAAACTTCCCTGTGGAAAGAAGATTCGAGTGACGTGCCCCAAGGCAGTAAAAGATTACAATCAGTGGATGGGCGGAGTTGATCGGTTCAATCAGAAAAGAAATGCCTACGTGGTTGACAGGCGGTCAAAAAAAGGATTGCATCGCATTTTTTATTTTATGGTTGATGCTGCCAACGTAAACGCATTCATTCAGCATGCAGGTGTTCGCGGTGCTGGCAGCATGGACTTGCTCCACTTCAAGCTAATTCTCGGGAGGCAACTTATCGAACAGCAAAGCTTCCGCATCGGACGGTCCCAGGCAGACAACCGCCGAAAAAATGGGCGCCACACTGGCTCTGTTCTTAGTGGAGTTCCTGACGAAGTCCGTTTCAAGGGGAACAATCACTTTCCTAAGCCATCCAACACAAGAAGAAGATGCCGCTGGTGCTCCACCAAGCGCACCGAAGTACGCACAAAGTTCATGTGTGCAGGTTGTGAAGTGCCATTGTGCATGAAATGTTTCTCTCCATTTCATTTACCAAAACGAGGCTAAAATAATGATATAAATTTTTTTGGTCCTACCCCCTCTTGGGCGCCGGGACATATGCTGTCCCCTCTTTTTTTTTCCTTCTCGTGTGCAGTGGGACACACGCTGTCTCACATTTTGTGTCCAGGCTATTGTGTATAAAGTAATGAAAACTGGTTTTGCCCGCGTTTCTTAGTGTAAATAAAATGTTATTGGACAAAAATACAACTTTCTTGTGCATGTGACCTCATGCCTCATAAAGGGTTATAAGAGACACCTCATGCAAAGGACAAGGACTGCTCCCTGGTGCATGTCTCTGATAGAGCTCAGACCATTTATAACCTAACCCCTTTCAGTACAGGACTGGTAGCAATGTCATTCTTTTTGGCTTCAGTTTGCCCTCCCACAGAACTCCATGTCTATGCATACCGCTTACTGAACTGTACCTTGAGATGAAAGACCAAGTTATAATGCAGCCGCCAGGAAATTCTCAGAAAAGCAAGGGAGCGCGTACGCTTCTCAGTGAATGTGCACCAGCCAGGGAGAGCACGACGCTGGCATTGCAAGGAATGAGGGGTCGCAGAGTGAATGAACAAAGAGCAAGAGGAGAAAAAAAAAAGAAGAAAACGGGTCGGAGGAGGGTAGGGGGTGCACCAGCGAGATGTGGGCACTTGTTGTGAAGAAGAGATGCCGTTATGACAAAGAAGCCTTTGCCCACTTTACTGCGCCACTTGTCATTGGGCAACCACAGCTCCGAACAGGTGCCCACGCCCACATTAGGTGCACGTTAGCACTGTTTGCCACTTAGTTTTCTGGGGGGCAAATAGCCGTGCCGTAGCAGAGCGCAGATATTGCAAGCGCGACATGGATTTGCCCCCCATCAGAGGGTACTGACACCTTTTTCGATGGTGATTTTTGCACCGCAATACAAATCTCCCATTCACGGAGGCGGCTATAAGCACGCAGGAAACTCAGCTAACGCTGCCAAGGTTTTTATTTTTTTTTATGTTGAAGTTAGTTTTCCAATGACACACCTACCAATATTGACACTAGCTTGACGTCAGGATACAGTACAAATTCCAGCGACTCCACACAGTAGTCTGGCAAGATGTGACGACGTCAGGCACCGAAAATTCCAACATGGTTGCTTGCGCATCACTAACGAAGCCACAGTGCGAAACGGCCGTGGAAATGTCACAATATCTTCCACGAGCACGTGATGGAAAGCTCATACTGTGTTGTGACTAAAGCTCTGCGAAAAGCAAAATTTTGGGTGCTAGTCTGAACACTGGAGTGCGAGTACGAATCAAATCGAAGATTTTGTTAATATTTCTAGTATAACGTATTTTCACGTAATGAACTTGCCTTTTTCTTCAGGAAAGTTGGCGCCAATTTGGAGGGAGGGTTCATTGTGCGGGAGCAAAAAGTGACGGGAATTATAACAGCAAAAATTTCGCGTTACGGCCTTGCTTGCTCTGGCTTGTGAAGTGTGCGACAAATCTTTTTTGTGGCCTGATGCTCTTTTTGTTTCCTCCCATAACAAAAATGCACATATCAACGTTGAAGAGTTACCAACAGCGCATGCTCTTGATAACCAGCCATGTAGCTAGCATGCCGGCCGAACACGCCCTGCACAGCAGGTGTCCCAATTAGGTTCTCAATTACAAACCCGACAACAAAATGCAGTGTCGGATAACAGTGCACAGTTGCGGTAGACGCTGTGGGTGCACGATGCGCCGCCGGCGCCATGGTCAGCGCAGTGGGTGTGGTTGTGCTTTGCATGGACTCCGAGATGGCACGCGCACAGCATGTTTCTTCGGAGGCCACATGCTTTGATTTTGTGCTGCTGTGCTTGCGTGGCACTATCAGCAAAGAGGTTTCTCCGGCATTCAACAAATAACGCTTTGCCGCAAAAAGCCTGCCTTTCAAATTTTGATTGACATCATCCACGCTCACGCTGCTCGCAACTGTTTAGCATGGTCGCGAAACTGTGTTTTGACTTTTATTGCCTTGTTAATTTGTGATATAATGGCTTAATTTAACATTGTTTCGGTCGTCAATGGCACTGGCTATTAAATCGAAACAAAGAGAACAGATACTTAAGATTTTTTTTCTTTTCTTTCAAAGACCAAGGTTTACGGTGGGTTTATTATGCGAGTGGGTTCATTACGCGAGTAAATATGGTATTCTTCTAATACTTCAACGTAAAATTACAGAAAAAATGTTGTAGAGGATTTCTAGGCATATCCTTATGATATAGCTAGTTTGATAAGCGTTGGTGGGGTGGTGTGTTATAGTTGTTTTATCAAGTATGAGACAAAGCAGAGGCTGAATTGTACTTAGGTACATTATTTGGGCCAACCAAAGTGTTGCCGACAACACTTTACATGTGACAGGCTAGGGTGCTATTTTCTCAGCCTCTCCACCTTTCAACGTCTGTGGTGTGCTTCCTTCGTGTCCGGAGTTCCAAATCTGCCTTGTAGATGTCAATACATAAGAATATCTGAAATATTGAATGCCACCGCAGTAGTTCCATGTCACAGATACGAATGACATAGAGCTGCGGTTACATGAAGAATAAAGAAAAACTTCGGGGCTACACAGCTTATATAAAGACAGAAATGTAGTAGGTGCATTGCTCATAAATGTATCATGCTTGCAATCAGCCAAGCCATTTTAAAAATACTGCTTTATAGATAAGTTCAAGGTTCTGACTTGCTGATGTTTGAAATTTGAAAAACGGCAGGTTGAGGACAACATGCTCTTTCTTTGAAAAAGGAGTAATTCTATTACCATTCCATTCCGAGGTCGCGAAATTGTGGAATGATTCCAGAGCGATTCCACAGTGGCAACTCTACAACACTGGTTGCAGCATAGAGATGAACGCGGCAGCACGGAGGTTCAATTAATGCTGTTTTGCACCTAACATTAGGGTAGAAAGTACGAAAAATCAGACTTCCAAGATTTTTAGCACCCAAAACTACAGGTGTTCTTAAATGTTCACTACTATGACGCAGATTGTGAACTCCCAATACAAAGGCAGCACAACTTTGTCTGACAAATAAGTTGTGCCTCCACACAAGTTGAAGGAGGGGAGAAGTAGCAAAAATAGTGTCTTTTTCTTTCACATATGAAGTTTTGTGACACCACATTGGTAGCACCAAATCATGTAAATATAAATACAATTCAGCCTCTGCGTTGCCTCATCCAAGATAGAACAACCAGGGAACACCCTCCCTCCAGCACTGCACCAACCTAGTCAAAAGAAACACTTCCATGTTCCTGTCTCACAACAATGTGCTTAGAAATCCTCTACGACCTTTTTTTGTTTTTCCAAAGAGTGTTAAAAAAATATTAAACAAATGTCTGACAACTACTCGAAAGTTATTCGACTTGCACTCAAACTCAAACCCGAAATTTTGCTATTCGCATAGCTTTACTTTCGAGAAGTAATCTTGCCATCTCTGGCCATTACAGCACGTTGAGTGGTGCAATAGTGTCATGACGGGGCAAGAAAAAAATGCACGCAACACTATGGCAACACAGGTCACGTGCATTTCCATTGTTTACCACATGCTCTTCTACGAACATAATGCACAAAAAATTACGACACCATCCCACATATTGGAAGTCCTGTCAACTGTCTTTTGGTAAACTGCAACGTAATAAAGAGAACGAAGAGACGTAGAGCACGAGCAATAGCCATGGACGCTGGCTCATTCAGTTGAAGCTTCCATTCTTTTGCTACAGCCAGATGTCGAGGTCCGATTCTCTTTTTTATATTTTGCTAAAGTAATGAAAGAAAAAGTAAAAAAAAAAAACTGAACAGATGTAACTTGAACCTCGTTATAACAAACATGCATCTTACAAGAAAATAAGTTTGTTATATCCGAAAATTCCTTGTAACGGTGTATTCTTAACACTAAATATTTTGCGAAACTACTTTTAATTTACTTTGTTATAACCAATATTTTGTTATTTCTGGATTCGTTATATCGAGGTTTGAGTGTATTAGTGGCAGTTACTTTACTAAATAATGTCTTAACTACATCTCGTGCTGTATTTAAATCAAATTAGCAGGAGTGATTCCAGAGTGCATGCCTAAAAACAAAGCCCTACCAAGCGGTGTCAAACTGGCGAGACTCATGTCCTGGCTGACCTACTGACCTCTCCATGCGTGCCGTTATGAGAGCAGCCTCGTTGTCGACCATGATTTGTTGAAGCCGCAACAAGACAGTGTCCGGCTCCATGAGGCCCTCAAGACGGCCAACCACCGTCATACGGTGATCCCGCAAAACTATCATGGCCAGGAATGGGTATGTGTTCTCCCGGAGCGCCTGGGACACTGTGCAACGAGGGAGTCTGGGGTCAATATTACAACACTTCTGGCTGAGTGAACAAGACAATGGTACATAACAAGAAATTTGACTTGCATTTTCTTTTCAGCAAGCAATAACACAACACATCTTTAATCTTTTATTTAAAGTAATAGACTCCTTGATTTGCCCTGCCGCAATGGTCTAGGAGCTAACATACTCAGCTGCTGACCCGCAGGTCGTGGGATTGAATCCCGGCTGCGGCCGCTGCATTTTCGATGGAGGTGGAAATGTTGCAGGCCCGTGTGCTCATTCCAGTGCACACGGGCCTATACTTGGGTGCATGATTGGGTGCACCACAACTCACATTTGGGTGCTTGTTAAGAAACCCCAGTGGACGAAATTTCTGGAGCCCTCCACTACGGCGTCTCCTATGATCATACTGTGGTTTTGGGACGTAAAACCCTACATATCTATCTACTCCCTGTTTTGCTATTTACACCTAGCTGGTAGTTTATAGGTACCTCTATGAGCAGTGCAAAGGGGCGAGGCAAGAGTTGGTCAGCACAAGGCTAGATCACTGGACGGCATAGCAGACAACCCTTTGATTTTCGCTAGCGCCATTGTGCCAGGACTCTTCATGAATGATATATAGGCTCAGGAACACTAAACTTCATACACAACAGGCCACAAGGATAGATCGATATATATATACAGTCGAGCCCACATATAACGGCCCCACTTAAAACGAACTTTCGCTTAAAACAAACAACATCCGCGTGACCGTGAAAATATACATTGGTTCAATGGCACAAAATCGCACTTACAACGAACGTCTCTGAGCGCCGCAGATCGGTTACAGCAAACAGAGTCAGTGGTCTTCCGACTTTTCGGGAAACAAATTTCGACCACCGATCAGGCATCGGCGAGGTGCCCATACATTCTTATTGTTGCCGCTCTCCCCCTATAATTGCCGCTCTCCCCAACCCATTGAGGAAGGAAAGCCGTTTCCTTCTTCCATGCCCCGACTGCTTTTGTTACGCAGCCCTCCGTCCTTTGTCCCCCCCGCTACTCTGAGCACCCCGCATCGCCAGACTGCAATTGTTACGCACCCCTCCATCCTTTGTCCCTCCGCTACTCTGAGCACCCCGCATCGCCAGACGAGACCAGTGTTTTTTCACATTGCCACCGATCTTTCGAAGACCAGTTGGCTATCTACCCTGTTTTTGATCGCTGGTAATGTCATTGGCATCGCCGGCCTGGAGCGACCAGACCATTTGCCACCACCGTCGTCCACCGACTGTATCGGACCGTCAGCGTCTAGTGCACGCGCGTACGCTACACCACCCACTCTGATAATCTGCGATTCGTTTCGTGTTTAGGACTTGTTCTCACTGACTTTGCACTCGGCTCAGCACGCCTTTCACCCGCATGCGGAAGCACGAAAACGGTTGTTAATTTGTGCGGAACGAATCGCAAAATATTGAAGTTCGTGACGCCACGCAAACCCGCCGGCGATTTTTTTACCACGGCCGCCGATTCTTCGAACGAACACCGTTGTGCGCACCGATCCAGGCACCCATGCTTTGACTTTTGCGCGCGGAGGCACTCCTTCCAAGTTTTTCTACGTGTGAGTTTTGTGGACCTTTCAAGCAAGCTACCCAACCTGCCTCTTTCCCGTGTGTTTTAAGATTTCAAGGTTGCCATCCCGCCGCATCCTCCCCTCTCTTTATCGCAACTCCTTGCCCTTCTCTCGCAAGCCTGCTCTCCTTTCTTGATCACAACCCCTTCGCCCGTCTCCACTGCTCCATGACGCTCGCCACGCTGGCTCGAATTAGTTTCGTTTTCTGACTGAAAACGGGCCCAGAGCTGTTCCACGTGTTCTGGCATGTGTGTCGTGTGTGCGCGTCTTGCTCAGGATGGCAGACGAGAGGACCTTGCACGCTTTTTCATGCCACTCAACAAAACGTCAAAAATGTGACCGCTTGTCTTGGGGTGTAATCCGCGCATTAGATGCTGCGTTGCGGAGCGCTTGGTCATAACTGTTGACCATCTGGCAGCCAACTTGCTGCTTCGGGCGTCCCGGTATTCAACTGTGGAGATGGTGAATATTTCGTGGACAGTGGCGACAGCTACATGCGCACGAAACTGTTTTTGCGAGGCAGACTTCGTTGACGTCGGCCCCGACGCCGAGCCTGAAGCTTCCGAAAAGGACCGCTGCGGCGGCGATTTGTGGCAGCGCGTCGTCGACTTTGAATTGGGAAAGCGGGTGAGACATCTGTTGCGATGGTTTAATTGCTGCCGATGATGATGCCGACACTGCGGAATTGTGCACGAATTGGAGCATTGTGAATGAAGTACGTGACAAGAGCGATTTGGAGGAATCGGATTGTGAGAACGACGAAACTTTGGAGCCAGTGCCTTATGCAGCTTATGCCACGGGTCTCGGCAAACGAGCACCCTGCCATTTTAAATGAACTCGAGACCGCCCTTATCGCTTCTGCTCTTCGAAACACGTGCATCACAGACTTTTTGGGGCAAAAAAGTTTGTATTGTCACTTGTAACTTTTTTTTTTAAAAGGTGTCTTTCATTTACTACGAACTTCGGGATACAGCGAACGGATGCCACATCACGCTCAGGTTGGTTTTTCTGTAATTACTCGAATCTAACGCGCACCTTTTTTTCGGTTAAGCAAGTTCATGAATTGCACACGCGTTAGAATCGAGTACGAAAAAAAAATGAATATGGTCATTCTATTGTCATCGGCACTTCCAAACTGGCCGCCCCCCACGTGCGTTGGCATGGCGCGTCGGCCATTTCTGCCTATGTGTTACCTACGTGCGGCACTTTGTACGTGTGCTGAGGAGTTCGTCATCTTGTAGTGCATTAGCATCGACGGCATGGTAGGGCCGATTCCAAAAACTAGACAAGTGCACCACAATGCCGCTTTTAAAAGAAATGTCATCGCGTGTGTCGAAACGGACGCAAATCGGGCCGCATCGCGGTCGTTTGGAGTTCCCGAAACGTGCGTACGGGACTGGCGGAAACAAAAGCAGAATATTGTCGACAGCAAAGATTCACGCAAAGGCTTCAGCGGACCACAGCAGAGTCGGTTTCCACAAATTGAAGAGCTGCTCGGCGAGTATGTGATTAAGCAGTGAGCGGCACAGCGGCCCGTGACGACAGAACTGCTCCAAGTGCAGGCTATGCAGTTAGCCTTAGAAAAAGGGCTAATGCGGAGCCAGTTTAAAGCGAGCAGGTGCTGGCTAACTAACTTTATGAAGAGGAAAGGCTTTTCCCTCCGAAGGCGAATGGGCATATGCCGGAAGTTGCCAGAGGAGTACGAAGAAAAGCTTCACAGTCTTCAGAGGTTCGTCCTAAACTTGCGGCACAACGGCTACCTGCTTGGGCAAATCGGGAATGCCGAACAGAAGCCTCTTTAATTCGACATGCCTGGCACCACAACTGTCGAGGAGAAGGGGGCAAAGCAACTTCGTGTGCTGACATCGGGCCACAGTAAGACTACAGTGACAGCAATGCTCCGTTGCACGTCAGATGGGCACAAGCTTCCCCCGTATCTCGTAGTTAAACGAAAGACGCTCTCGAAAGGAGTCGTTTTCCCGAGTGGTGTGATCGTGCGGGCCAACGAGAAAAATGGGTGCGCGTTGCAATCGATGTCTTAGGTTGTTTTTGTTTTTTTCATCGTGGAAACCGGGTGCGCGTTACAATCGAGGGCGCGGTAGAATCGAGTAAATACGGTAAGCGGGCTCGACTGTACTACCCAAATCATCGTGCCCTATCACTGAAAGAAAATATACTGTATGTGGTAAAGCCTTTGAACAGTGGGTCGTCCTCTCCAGCGCCTTCTAGTGGGTCTCCCTTTTCATAAGAAGAAGAACAGCTCGTGCAGAAAGTCGGTCCCAGCATTGACTGTCGCTGTCGTGAATCATCGCAAAGTGTCCGCCAATAAACCTCTTAACAATTTGGTGGAGAGTGCTATGCCCTTCAAACACCTTCGGTCTGAATTCGATGCCCTTAGAGCTTCGATCCCGTAGCATGCCTGCAACCATGCACCAAGACGCTGCCCAGCAAACGCTTCCTCCTACGCCGACGCCATGTCCCGGTGTCCCCCGCATCCGTGACTCTCCTGTCTTCACCGGCGCAAATGGCACCGACGTCGAGGACTGGCTGGCCATGTACGAACGCGTCAGCGCCCCCAATCATTGGGACGAGGCAGGTAAACTCGGCAACCTGTTTTTCTACCTCGCGGGTGTGGCCGGCATGTGGTGCAACAACCACGCATCTGATTTCCCGACTTGGTCCGCTTTTAAAACCGCAGTCGTCGACGTGTTCGGCCGTCCGGCCGTTCGTAAGCTGCAAGCTGAACAGCGTTTATGTGAACGAGCCCAGCAGACCGGCGAGTCCTTCACAAGATATATCGAGGACATCCTTGACTTGTGCAAGAAAGTCGACCTGAACATGTCAGAAGCTGACAAAATCACGCATGTTCTAAAAGGCATCGCCGACGATGCCTTCACCATGCTTCTGGCAAAGAACCCCCGCACTGTGGCAGAAGTCATTACGTTATGCCAAAATTACGACGAGCTGCGGCGGCAGCGCTTGATGACCCGTCGACCGCCACCACGTGATGCTGATCTCTCGGCCTTGTCAGCAGTTCCTGACCACGCAACCTTGCTCGCCGAAATCCAGTCGTTCATGCGTGAGGAAGTTGCCCGCCAGGTCTCTTTACTGGCTTTTGCTTCCCCACAACATGCTCAACAGCCATCAAGTACACTTCTACCTCCGCTACGCCGAGCCATTCAGCAGGAAATCGCGGAGGTCGTCCCTGAATACCACCAGCCGCCTCCTGCATCTGCGCCACTCAGCTACGCCCAAGTTGTCGCCCGGCCGCCCCCCCCCCCCCCGCCCCCCCGATTTCTGTCGCTGTTCCCCTAAGTTACACCGACACCGTCGCGAGGCCACAGACCTTCGGAGAAACTGTCTCGCCTACATACGCCGGTATCACCC